TGGGGCCATTTAATGTCCTGAGGAGATTGAACGAGGTTTGTTATAGGTTACAACTTCCTATTAATTACTGTATTAACCCCTCGTTCCATGTGTCTCTCCTCAGGCTGGTAGTAGCTGGTCCACTCCAGGAGTCTGAGTTACGGGAGGTTCCTCATCCCCCACTGGACATCGAGGGGGCTCCGGCGTACTCAGTCCGTTCCATCTTGGATTCGAGGCGTCAGGTGGGGGGCCTGCAGTATCTCGTGGAGTGGGAGGGGTATGGTCCGGAGGAACGGTGCTGGGTCCCTAGGAGGGACATCCTCGATCCCTCCATGTTGAGGGATTTCCACCAGAGTCATCCGACCCGCCCTGCTCCGTGTCATCCTGGCCATCCCCGAGGCCGGGGTCGGCGCACGGCTGGAGCCGGGCGTCAAGGGGGGGGGGGGTACTGTCACGGATTCAGCCGAGGCTGCCCCTCCTCCTTGCTCGGGCAGGCTTCGGCGTTCGTCGTCACCGGTGTACTAGCTGCTAACGATCCATGTATCTATGTTCGACTTGTTTTGTCTTAATTGGTCACACCTGTTTCCCATTATGTAGTTATGTCTTCCCTATTTAACCCTCTGTCTTACACTGTGTGTTGTGCGTGTTTGTTCATGTTTTGGTTGTCGTTAGTGTGCGGGTTTGTTCCCTCCCTGCGTGGAGGTTGTTGTTCATTCTTTTACCTATGAGTAAAGTACGCCTTTTGATTAGCTCTGTGTCCTGCGCTTTACCTACGAGTAAAGTGCGCCTTTTGATTAGCTCTGTGTCCTGCGCCTGACTTCGCCTACCACATTACACTGACGCCTTGACAAGTTTACACAAATCCCCAACTGCTTATGATGTATTCCTCTAGTATTTGACATTGTGGTGCAGTGATTGGTTGTGTCACTCCACATAACCCTGTGTCTGGCTACCATCTGGTGTGCTTCAGCAAATTGTAATACTATCAAAAAGTAAGGAGGACCAAGGCACTCTTCATATAATTATATGACTGTAAGTCGCTTTGGATAAAAGCGTCTGCTAAATGACATATTATATTATTATTATAAATGCCTTTATTTGTATGGCATATGGAACATATATGGAACATCAATGGAACAAAGATTAAAAAACGGACACATTTTAAGCAGCATGGCCTTCATCAGGGAGTGCAAAGATACAATGTCTTCTATTGAACAAACCATGTTCCAATCACCCTGATTGAAGAGGAAGTGGTTAGGGAATGGTTAATAGTCATACAAAGTAGTTCTACCCTTGAAAGGGAGTCAGTTTTTACATCTTTGTTCCACTGAACATGCTATACAAATAAAGGCATTTGAATTACATGAAGAGTGCCTTAGTCCTCTTTGCTTTTTGATGACCAATTTACCCCTTTTACCAAAGAGCACCTTCTGTCTACAAAGACCTACTATTGTGTACACTAGCAGTGCTTCCCTTCCTTCTTTTTTTTCTACAAGTTGGTAACAGAGATGTTAGACAGACTTGTAAAAGGCTCTGGTTCTAACCACTGAGTTTAAAGACGAACTCATTAAGGGTTTCAAGTGTTTTCAAGGAAACAAGTTGAATGGTAACTTATGAATTCACACAACATATTATGTCCGGTTTCCCAGAATCTCTATTGAAAATGTCTTTTAGCGCTGGGTTAGGCTTAATCTGTGTCTGGGAAACTGGCTCATTATGTCCTACCTTTTTAATACTGATTAGACATGTGAAAGAGTAGCCATTCCAAGGAGAGACTGACAAGACATGATGCCAAAGTCACCTTACCATAAACAAGCATTTGAAAGGTTCCCTCGTTGCCCCCTTACGCTATTGCATTACAGTAAATAAAGAAGAACAGAATAAAACCTGAATATTGTCTGCTCCTTGCATTTCAAGGTAACACTTTATTTGGATAGTTCATCTGTAGATGCTCTACAGACTATCAGTAACATTTCAACTATCTACTAACCCTAACCTTAGCCCTAACCCTAACCTTAGCCCTAACCCTAACCCTAACCTAACCCTAACCCCTCACCCTTATACTAAACCTAGCTCTAAGCCTAAACTTAACCCTTACCCTAACCCTTATTGCTTTTACGACAGATAGTTTGTTGATAGAATGACCATCTGTAGAGCATCTACAGATGGACTATCCAAATAAAGTGTGACCCAATTCAAATATGAAATTGACAAGTTTGTTGTTGTGTGTAAGGTAAGACAGAATGTCTATTAAATGTGTGCCAGTTATCAGGTTGTACTGTACAACATGCCTATGCGGTAACATGAGATCACTCTGTTAGAGTGTGCCTGTTATGAGTGACTGTCACGAATTCAGCCGAGGCTGCCCCTCCTCCTTGCTCGTGCAGGTTTCGGCGTTCGTCGTCACCGGCTTACTAGCCACTATCGCTCCATTTATCATCACTCCATTTGTCTTGTATTGTCTTGTCTTGTCAATCACACACACCTGGGACTCATTCCCTCATTAGTCTGTGTATAAATGTTCCCTCTGCCCCCTTGTCCTTTGTGAGTGATTGTTCGTTGTGAGAGTGAGTAGCTCGGTTGAGCTACTCTTTACTTGTATGCAGCCATGGTTGATTTTCCCTTGTGCTAGTTTCGTTCTGTCGCTATATGCGCTACATTATTGTACACTGAATAAACTCTTGATTTCGGTGTTTTACCTCCTGCGCCTGACTCCGTCATTCACACCTCATCACAGTGACAAGTTGTACTTTATACTATTGCCTACTGCATTCATATGTCAAATGTCAATGCCCCCTTTCCGTATGTGACATTTCAGGCAAGAAGAGAAGAGGGCTGACAGCTAGTGCCTGAGTATAAGAGTGCAACCCTTATTTCCACTTGTTTGACAGCTCAAGTAATATAGCAATTTCGTTTTTTATTTTTTATTGTTTTAAAATCATGATATTACCTAACTCATACAGCATTTTGTTTAAATGAGGGTACGAAAGTACAATTTCAAGTTACGTTTACAGCAATTTGATATTGGTGCTTTATGACTGGGGTTTCCTATGTTCCTTTTCAAGTTAGGTTATCTTTAAATGCAGGAGGTCTATTTTATGTTTACCCATAGAAGGACGTCATCATGATCCTCTGACTGAAAATTACCATGGAGATCCAGTCACTTGTTTCACTAATGTCCCGTGGTAGATAAATAATATGCATCACTAACAGTCCAGTTGTGGTAGGGCAGGCCAATGCAAACTAAAAATGTAATCTCTAATGCCTGCATTTGCAAATTTACTAGAGATAGAGTGAATACTAAAGGGATACTTCGGGATTTTTGTTCCTCAGAGTCATGAACTCATGGATACCATTTTAATCTCTCTGTGTCCTGTATGAAGGAAGTTAGAGCTAGTTTCACAAGCCAGTGCTAACTAGCGTTAGCGCAATGATTAATGCTAATTAGCAATTGCGCTGGCGCTAGTTAGCAACTTCCTTCAAACATAAAGAGACATAAAAATTGTATCCACGAGTTTATCTGACTCATTGCCAAAATGAGTATCCCTTTAATAATTGGTTGATACACAGATTCAATACCATCTGTGTCATGTTTATAACACTTACAGCAGGTTCTGTACAGTATGTGGTATACAGTATTATAACACTAAATAGTGTTGGGTACAGGCATACATTTTAAATTAAACAGATACGTTTCAATAAAAAATAAAAAAGCATACACACACAAGGAGTCAATGGCTTCTTTTTATATTGAGGGCATAAGCCTCCCTTCTTTTGTTTCACAATGATAAAATCATTAAGACAACCAAGGGCAGATGTCCAACGAATGTAAAAAACAAATGTACAAATAATTAAAGCCCAGATTTTATCCAAGGCGTCATTGAGTGTTATTGTTCATAAAAAGACAACATCGGTGGTTTTACAATCTTAGCTGAAGATCGAGGTGCATCCTTGTCCATAATTTAACACTCTTTTATTAAAAGGAAATAAGACGAGTCAGACAGTACAGTCACCCATTCCAGGACTGGGGAGGAAGAGAACTACGAGACTATAACCTTTTTTGTAATTACAGGGAGACCTTGGTCCCAGCATGACTTCCTGTCAAAATAAAGTTTAAATAAAAACCTGCCTTAGTTATTATCAGTCACATAATCCAAATTCAAACAGTGTACAGTGAAAAAAGCATTTGTCCAGGAGAGAATGCAAGGTTGAAGTCAGAGAGGACTGGACAGCAGCTTGGAAAGCTGAGACTTAAAGCTTCATTATTGGAGTTGCTTTGATTTGGGCAAACACAGAACAGTATGTAGCATCTGTAGCGTGCAAGGGTCTATCTGGGATGAGTCTGTACTTGTTAATTCTCCATGTTCAAGAGTAAAGAGTGGGGGGTTCTTCAGCCTGTGCAAATATACAGTATGACTCATTGTCTGAACATAAGTAGTTTTCTGGGACTGTGGGTGTTATGACAACTAGGTGACGATGATGCCAGCTGTTTTGTCTGTTATAGTGGCACAGCGTCACACCACTTCCACATGGTCAAATTATGTATATTGAGGATTCCAAATGTGACTGTAAGCACAAGGTGCAGGGCAACCCCAGCCATCCCAACCAATAGATTGAAGCTACCAAAATAGAATGATACCTGTTGTTCATCTGTATTGTGCAAAACGAGACAATGCAATGCTAAAATTATATTTGATTATCAACATCAGAATGCAGACTGTGGGTTTGAGTTAAGTTGAGGTGTGCATTTGGAGGCAAGATGCAACGCAAGAGGTTCAGGACTGGACCTGGACTGGATTCCATGTTATGGACTGAAAGAAGGAATGCTGTTCGGCCTGCAGCCTTCCCCAATCACTCGCGCCACCTGTCTGTCATGCAGGGGACAGCACACATGGTGGCGGGTAGGTAGGGGAATATGAGGTCAGGGTGGAGGGGTGTGGTCCAGCCCCATCTGGTCCCTGCCCCTGTGTGGGTAGGTGGGTAGCGAGGGGAGACCTGCCCCCCTGGCCTCCTCTGGAGCATCAGGGACAGTCCTGGCCGTGGTCCTGATTCCTGCGGCATCTCTTAGTGGCCACTTGATGGTTCTCGTTCATCACTCCACTGTCCTCCGCCTTCCTCCTCTTCCCTTTCCCTGCCTGTTGAGCACACAGATACAAAGGAGAGGGACTTTTAAATGGAAGTCATGTTTAGATTTCTTCCATTGTGCAAAAATAAATCACTTTTTATACATTTTGTTTTGCAATATTAATTAGTATAATATTTATATTAATGAAGACACAAACTATAATCGATTATGGAGTAAAAGGAAGCATCAAGTGGTAATGAGTGGTCCTCTGTAGCTCAGTTTGTAAGAGCACGGCTCTTACAACGCCAGGATAGTGTGTTCGATTTAGAAGACCACCCATACGTAGAAAATGCATGCATGAGTCGCTTGTTCTTTTGATAAAAGCGTCTGCAATATGGCATATACCATAACGCGAGAACTAAAGTTCAAATAAAGTAGCTATTCAGTACTACCACTAGATGTCAGCCTACTACCACTAAATGTGACTCTCTAAAGCAGCGATTCTCAACTGGTGGGTCATGACCCAAAATGGTGTGTTTGAGTGAAAAACAAAAACGTTTAATTGTAAAAGAAAATCGTACAAAATAATGGATTATTTCCACATGAAATAAATATTAACGTCTGAACATAAATGACTAAAACCAGATAGAAAGTGTGTAGAAATGATAATGGACCTATAATTTGACAGGTCAAATCTGGGTCCCGAAGAACAACCAGTTGAGAACCACTGCTCTAAACCATGAACGATGGACCACAGTCGGTCAGCAGCACAGCACAGACTATTGAAATAGATAAACATGTCATTTCACATGTATCAAATTACTCAAACAGTGAACCAGGTCAGATTGTACAACTGATTACTCATCCAGATTACATCCCAAACGGTACCCTATTCCCAATATAGTGCACTACATTTGACCAGGGCCGATTGCACTCTGTTCAAAAGTACTGCACTATATAGGGAATAACTTGTCATTTGGGACGAAGTCAATCCATCCAGACTGTGAAAGACTTTGTTACAGACCTTGACGTCATGTTCAGCAAACTTCTGGAACATGTTGGCATAGATCTTCTTGTCCCTTTCATTGTGTTCCCGGATTTTGTGTTGACAGATGGAGACTTGGCCGAGTGCCGCCCGGTTAGAGGGGTTGACCTGCAGCACCAGTTTAAAGTCAGACATGGCCAGGCTGAACTCGTTACGGAAGAGACGAGCCTCCCCACGCCGGTACAGAGCCTTCTCATTCTTCCCATCCAGCTCTATCACCTACGAGATACACACAGACACACAACTACATTGGTAACATTTTGCATTAAGGTATACCTACAGGGATTTATAAAGGGCTTTATAAATAGTTTTAAACAGCAAATTATTAGTTTATAAAGCTGTTTAAAAAATTGTAACAGAATGGTTGGAATTGTGTGATTATTATTTGAATGCTTACTAAACAGATTAATACATACCCTACATTACCAAAGTATGTGGACACCTGCTTGTCGAACATCTCATTCCAGAATCATGGGCATTAATATGGAGCTAGTCCCCCCTTTGCTGCTTGCTACAACAGCCTCAACTCTTCTCGGAAGGCTTTCCACTAGATGTTGGAATATTGCTGCGGGGACTTGCTTCCATTCAGCCACAAGAACATTAGTGAGGTTGGGCACCGATGTTGGGCGATTAGGCCTGGCTCACAGTCGGCGTTCCAATTCATACCAAAGGTGTTCGATGGGGTTGAGGTCAAGGCTCTGTGCAGGCCAGTCAAGTTCTTCCACACTTATCTCGACAAATCATTTCTGTATGGACCTTGCTTTGTGCACGGGGGCATTGTCATGCTGAAACATAAAGGGGCCTTCCCCAAACTGTTGCCACAAAGTTGGAAGCACAGAATCGTTTAGAATGTAATTGTATGCTGTAGCGTTAATATTTCCCTTCACTGGAACTAAGGGGCCTAGCCCGAACCATGAAAAACAGCCCCAGACCATTACTCCTCATCCACCAAACTTTACAGTTGGCACTATGCATTGGGGCAGGTAGCATTCTCCTGGCATCCGCCAAACCCAGATTAGACTGTCAGACAGCCAGATTAGTCTGTCACGCCAGAGAACGCGTTTCCACTGCTCCAGAATCCAATGGCAGTGAGCTTTACACCACTCCAGCTGACGCTTTGCATTGAGCATGGTGATCTTAGGCTTGTGTGCGGCTGCTCGGCAATGGAAACCCATTTCATGAAGCTCCCGACTAACAGATATTTTGCTGACGTTGCTTCCAGAGGCAGTTTGGAAATCGGTAGTGAATGTTGCAACCGAGGGCAGACAATTTTTACGCGCTTCAGCACTCGGCGGTCCTGTTCTGTGACCTTGTGTGGCCTACCACTTCACGGCTGAGCAGTTGTTGCTCCTAGATGTTTCCACTTCACAATAACAGCATTTACAGATGGCCGGGGCAGCTCCAGCAGGGCAGAAATTTGCTGAACTGACTTGTTGGAAAGTTGGCATCCTATGATTGTGCCATGTTGTAAGTCACTGAGCTATTCGGCAAGGGCATTCTACTGCCAATGTTTGTCTATGGAGATTGCATGGCGGTGTGCTCGATTTTATACACCTGTCAGCAACGGGTGTGGCTGAAATAGCAGAATCCACTAATTTCAAGGGGTTCCACATACTTTTGTATATATACAGTGAGGGAAAAAAGTATTTGATCCCCTGCTGATTTTGTACATTTGCCCACTGACAAAGAAATTATCAGTCTATAATTTTAATGATAGGTTTATTTGAACAGTGAGAGACAGAAAAACAACAAAAAAATCCAGAAAAACGCATGTCAAAAATGTTATAAATTGATTAGCATTTTAATGAGGGAAATAAGTATTTGACCCCCTCTCAATCAGAAAGATTTCTGGCTCCCAGGTGTCTTTTATACAGGTAACGAGCTGAGATTAGGAGCACACTCTTAAAGCGAGTGCTCCTAATCTCAGCTTGTTACCTGTATAAAAGACACCTGTCCACAGAAGCAATCAATCAGATTCCAAACTCTCCACCATGGCCAAGACCAAAGAGCTCTCCAAGGATGTCAGGGACAAGATTGTAGACCGACACAAGGCTGGAATGGGCTACAAGACCATCGCCAAGCAGCTTGGTGAGAAGGTGACAACAGTTGGTGCGATTATTCGCAAATGGAAGAAACACAAAATAACTGTCAATCTCCCTCGGCCTGGGGCTCCATGCAAGATCTCACCTCGTGGAGTTGCAATTATCATGAGAACAGTGAGGAATCAGCCCAGAACCACACGGGAGGATCTTGTCAATGATCTCAAGGCAGCTGGGACCATAGTCACCAAGAAAACAATTGGTAACACATTACGCCGTGAAGGACTGAAATCCTGCAGTGCCCGCAAGGTCCCCCTGCTCAAGAAAGCACATATACAGGGCCGTCAGAAGTTTGCCAATGAACATCTGAATGATTCAGAGGAGAACTGGGTGAAAGTGTTGTGGTCAGATGAGACCAAAATGGAGCTCTTTGGCATCAACTCAACTCGCCGTGTTTGGAGGAGGAGGAACGCTGCCTATGACCCCAAGAACACCATCCCCACCGTCAAACATGGAGGTGGAAACATTATGCTTTGGGGGTGTTTTTCTGGTAAGGGGACAGGACAACATCACCGCATCAAAGGGATGACGGACAGGGCCATGTACCGTCAAATCCTTCCCTCAGCCAGGGCATTGAAAATGGGTCGTGGATGGGTATTCCAGCATGACAATGACCCAAAACACACGGACAAGGCAACAAAGGAGTGGCTCAAGAAGAAGCACATTAAGGTCCTGGAGTGGCCTAGCCAGTCTCCAGACCTTAATCCCATAGAAAATCTGTGGAGGGAGCTGAAGGTTCGAGTTGCCAAACGTCAGCCTCGAAACCTTAATGACTTGGAGAAGATCTGCAAAGAGGAGTGGGACAAAATCCCTCCTGAGATGTGTGCAAACCTGGTGGCCAACTAAAAGAAACGTCTGACCTCTGTGATTGCCAACAAGGGTTTTGCCACCAAGTACTAAGTCATGTTTTGCAGAGGGGTCAAATACTTATTTCCCTCATTAAAATGCAAATCAATTTATAAAATTTTTGACATGCGTTTTTCTGGATTTTTTTGTTGTTATTCTGTCTCTCACTGTTCAAATAAACCTACCATTAAAATAATAGACTGATCATGTCTTTGTCAGTGGGCAAACGTACAAAATCAGCAGGGGATCAAATACTTTCTTCCCTCACTGTATAAATATACAGTTGAAGTCGGAAGTTTACATACACCTTAGCCAAATACATTTAAACTCAGTTTTTCACAATTCCTGACATTTAAGCCTAGTAAAAATTACCTGTCTTAGGTCAGTTAAGATCACCACTTTATTTTAAGAATGTGAAATGTCAGAAAAATAGTAGAGAGAATGATTTATTTCAGCTTTTATTGCTTTCATCACATTCAGTCAGAAGTTTACATACACTCAATTAGTATTTGGTAACATTGCCTTTAAATAGTTTATCTTGGGTCAAACGTTTCGTGTAGCCTTCCACAAGCTTCCCACAATAAGTTGGGTAAATTTTGGCCCATTCCTCCTGACAGAGCTGGTGTAACTGAGTCAGGTTTGTAGGCCTACTTGCTCGCACACACTTTTTCAGTTCTGCCCACATATTTTCTATAGGGTTGAGGTCAGGGCTTTGTGATAGCCACTCCAATACCTTTACTTTGTTGTCCTTAAGCCATTTTGCCACAACTTTGGAAGTATGCTTGGGGTCATTGTCCATTTGGAAGACCAATTGGGACCAAGCTTTAACTTCCTGACTGATGTCTTGAGATGTTGCTTCAATATATCCACATAATTTTCCTTCCTCATGATGCCATCTATTTTGTGAAGTGCACCAGTCCCTCCTGCAGCAAAGCACCCCCACAGCATGATGCTGCCACCCCCGTTCTTCACGGTTGGGATGGTGTTCTTCGGCTTGCAAGTACCCCCTTTTTCCTCCAAACATAACGATGGTCATTATGGCCAAACAGTTCTATTTTTGTTTCACCAGACCAAAAAGTACGATCTTTGTCCCCATGTGCAGTTGCAAACCGTAGTCTGGCTTTTTTATGGCGGTTTTGGAGCAGTGGCTTCTTCCTTGCTGAGCGGCCTTTCAGGTTATGTCGATATAGGACTCGTTTTACTGTGGATATAGATACTTCTGTACCTGTTTCCTCCAGCATCTTCACAATGTCCTTTGCTGTTGTTCTGGGATTGATTTGCACTTTTCACACCAAAGTACGTTCATCTCTAGGAGACAGAATGCGTCTCCTTCCTGAGCGGTATGACGACTGCGTGTTCCCATGGTGTTTATACTTGCGTACTATTGTTTGTACAGATGAATGTGGTACCTTCAGGCATTTGGAAATTGCTCCCAAGGATGAACCAGACTTGTGGAGGTCTACAATTTTTTTTACGAGGTCTTGGCTGATTTATTTTGATTTTCCCATGATGTCAAGCAAAGAGGCACTGAGTTTGAAGGTAGGCCTTGAAATACATCCACAGGTACACCTCCAATTGACTCAAATGATGTTAATTAGCCTATCAGAAGCTTCTAAAGCCATGACGTCATTTTCTGGAATTTTCCAAGCTATTTAAAGGCACAGTCAACTTAGTGTATGTAAACTTCTGACCCACTGGAATTGTGATACAGTGAATTATAAGTGAAATAATCTGTCTGTAAACAATTGTTGGAAAGATTACTTGTGTCATGTACAAAGTAGATGTCCAAACCGACTTGCCAAAACTATAGATTGTTAACAAGAAATTTGTGGAGTGGTTAAAAAACAAGTTTTAATGACTCCAACCTAAGTGTATGTAAACTTCCGACTTCAACTGTACATACAGGACCAGTCAAAAGTTTGGACACACCTACTCATTCCAGGGTTTGTCTTTATTTTTACTATTTTCTACTTTGTAGAATAATAGTGAAGACATCAAAACTTTGAAATAACACATATGGAATCATGTAGTAACCAAAAAAGTGTTAAACATAAACAATATATTTTATATTTGAGATTCTTCAAAGTAGCCACCCTTTTCCTTGATGACAGCATTGCACACTCTTGGCATTCTCTCAACCAGCTTCATGAGGTAGTCCCCTGGAATGCATTTCAATTAACAGGTGTCATCAAGGCAAAGTGTGGCTACTTTGAAGAATCTCCAATATTACATATATTTTGATTAGTTTAACACTTTTTTGGTTACTACATGATTCCATATGTGTTATTTCATTGTTTTGATGTCTTCACTATAATTCTACAATATAGAAAATAGTCAAAATAAAGAAAAACCCTTGAATGAGTAGGTGTGTCCAAACTTTTGACTGGTACTGTATGTATACCACCCCACTGACCCAGAGCAAATAGTTAAAGACACAAACAATTGTATGCTATTCCATGCACAGGCACTAGCTGCATGCTGTGTGTGGCTTCAGTATATGGTATACATGTATATGTGTGTGGGGATCCCATGCGTGCAGCCAGGTATGCATTGAGAGTGTACCTTGTTACAGTTCTCCACAACCAGTGCATACTCTCTCAGCCTCAGGTAGCACATTGCCAGGTTGAGCTGGGAGACCAGTAGGAAGTTCTGGATCGTCTGCTGCTGCTCCTTCCCTACACCAAACTCCATCTCAAGCCACGAAACAATGCGCTGGTACTGGACCACCGCCTGCAGGAAACGCCCCGCCTAGAACCAGGGACAACACATGGACTAGGTTTTGCAGGTCTCTCATGCAAAATAGATTATAAGCAACATTTTCATATCGTAAAAGAAATGTGCAAAGCAGGCACGTGCACAGATAGGGCTCTACCTACAGTGGCTTGCAAAAGTATTCACCCCCCTTGGCATTCTTCCTATTTTGTTGCCTTAAACCTGGAATTAAAATTGATTTTTTGGTGGTTTGTATAATTTGAATTACACAACTTTATGTATTTAACTAGGCAAGTCAGTTAAGAACAAATTCATATTTACAATGACGGCCTACACCGGCCAAACCCGGACAATGCTGGGCCAATCATGTGCCGCCCAATCACAGCCGGTTGTGATACAGCCTGGAATCGAACCAGGGTGTCTGTAGTGACACCTCACGCACTGAGATGCAGTGCCTTAGACCACTGCGCCACTCGGGAGCCCAACTTGCCTACCACTTTGAAGATGCAAAATTTGTTTTATTGTGAAACAAACAAGAAATAAGACAAAAAAACTGAGAGCCACCTTTTGCAGCAATTACAGCTGCAAGTCTCTTGGGGTATATCTCTATAAGCTTGGCACATCTAACCACTGGAATTTTTGCCCGTTCTTCAAGGCAAAACTGCTCCAGCTCCTTCAAGTTGGATGGGTTCTGCTGGTGTACAGCAATCTTTAAGTCATACCACAGATTCTCAATTGGATTTAGGTCTGGGCTTTGACTACGCCATTCCAAGACATTTAAATGTTTCCCCTTAAACCACTCGAGTGTTGCTTTAGCAGTATGCTTAGGGTCATTGTCCTGCTGGAAGGTGAACCTCCGTCCCAGTCTCAAATCTCTGGAACACTGAAACAGGTTTTCCTCAAGAATGTCCCTGTATTTAGCGCCATCCATTATTCCTTCAATTCTGACCAGTTTCCCAGTCCCTGCCGATGAAAAACATCCCCACAGCATGATGCTGCCACCACCATGCTTCACTGTGGGGATGGTGTTCTCGGGGTGATGAGAGGTGTTGGGTTTGCGCCAGACATAGCGTTTTCCTTGATGGCCAAAAAGCTCAACTTTAGTCTAATCTGACCAGAGTACTTTCTTCCATATGTTTGGGGAGTCTCCCACATGCCTTTTGGCGAACACCAAACGTGTTTGCTTATTTTATTCTTTAAGCAATGGCTTTTTTCTGGCAACTCTTCTGAAAAGCCCAGCTCTGTGGAGTGTACGGCTTAAAGTGGTCCTATGGACAGATACGCCAATCTCCGCTGTGGAGCTTTGCAGCTCCTTCAGGGTTATCTTTGGTCTCTTTGTTGCCTCTCTGATGAATGCCCCCCTTGCCTGGTCCGTGAGTTTTGGTAGGGGGCCCTCTCTTGGCAGGTTTGTTGTGGTGCCATATTCTTTCCATTTTTTAATAATGGATTTAATGGTGCTCCGTGGGATGTTCAAAGTTTCCGATCTGATCTGCACTTCTCCACAACTTTGTCCCTGACCTGTTTGGAGAGCTCCTTGATCTTCATGGTGCCGCTTGCTTGGTGGTGCCCCTTGCTTGGTGGTGTTGCAGACTCTGGGGCCTTTCAGAACAGGTGTATATATACTGAGATCATGTGACAGATCATGTGACACTTAGATTGCACACAGGTGGACTTTATTTAACTAATTATGTGACTTCTGAAGGTAATTGGTTGCACCAGATCTTATTTATGGGCTTCATAGCAAAGGGGGTGAATACATATGCACGCACCACTTTTACGCTATTTATTTTTTATAATTTTTTTAAATTTTTCATTTCACTTCACCAATTTGGACTATTTTTTGTATGTCCCTTACATGAAATACAAATACAAATCCATTTAAATTACAGGTTGTAACGCAACAAAATAGAAAAAACACCAAGGGGGATGAATACTTTTGCAAGGCACTGTATGCAGAGCACCTGCCTCTTTGCCCGTCCAATCTCTGAAGTTCACTTTTGTACTGGGTTAAAATATATCATATGTCATCAAGGCAAAGGGTGGCTATTTGATGAATCTCAAATCTCAAATATATTTTGATTTGTTTAACACTTTTTTGGTTACTACATGATTCCATTGTGTTATTTCATAGTTTTGATGTCTTCACTATTATTCTACAATGTAGAAAATAGTAAAAATAAAGAAAAACCCTTGAATGAGTAGGTGTTCTAAAACTTTTGACCGGTAGTCTATATATATACACTGAGTGTACAAAACATCATGAACACCTGCTCTTTCCATGACATAAACTGACCAGGTGAAAGGAAGCAATAGTCCCTTATTGATGTCACTTGTTAAATCCACTTCAATCAGTGTAGATGATGGGGAGGAGACAGGTTAAAGAAGGATTTTTAAGCCAGTTGAGACAATTGAGACATGGATTGTGTTTGTGTGCCATTCAGAGGGTGAATGGACAAGACAAATGATTGAAGTGCCTTTGAACGGGGTATGGTAGTCGGTGCCAGGCGCAAGAACTGCAACACTGCTGGGTTTTTCACACTCAAAAGTTTCCCGCGTGTATCAAGAATGGTCCACCACCCAAAGGACATCCAGCCAACTTGACACAACTGTGGGAAGCATTGGAGTCAACATGGGCCAGCACCCCTGTGGAACACTTTTGACACCTTGTAGAGTCCATGCCCCGATGCAACTCAACATTAGGAAGGGTTTTTTAATGTTTTGTACACTCAATATATATTGTCTCATTTGCATATTTTGTTACAATATTTCAGAAAAACATTAATACTAAAACATTTGATATTTGTGTCTACATTCAACTGGTAACTGTATACAGTTTTTGTCATTGTTGTTCTGAACCCACTGGCCGCATGTCGTCATTAAATGTGTCATTTTATTAGCCATTAAGATGTGGCCATCTATTGTTTTTATGTAACTAAATAATCAAAGTCATAATTGCTCAATGAGTCTGTGACCGTGGTTGCAGAAAACATTTTTGGGGGGGTTCCCTTTTTTTAGTTTGAGCACCTTCCCCCCAAATGTTTTGTACACAGCCCTGGTGGAAAGCATTATTATAATCTCGCAGTGTGATTTGGTCATTTGACTGCAGGAAAGGGCTTCATAAATGAAAAGTTCAGAAACAGAGGGAAAATCATATTTTTTAAGGTTAAGTTTAGGGTAAGTTTTGGCGTTAACTCAGAATTTTTAAGGTTAGGGTTAAGTTTAGGCATTAACTCAGAAATCTTAAGGTTAGGCATTATCTCTGAATGGATAAGGTAAGAGTTAAGGTTTGGGATAGGCTAAAAACAAAAATCTCAAAAACTGGATTTGAACTTGCAACCTTTGGAATCAGAGGCAGATGCTTTGCCCATCCATGTCCTTGCAAAACCAAAACCTATTTGAAGGTAACAGCGCTCACTGTTTCCCCTAGTGGCTGGTTTCCACAATATCTCCTGATGTCCTCAGACATGGATGGACGTTGAATACTGACTTGTATCACTGGTGACCTGGCTGAAATATTCATACACAGATGCATCACAATGGTCATTACATTTTGTCTATTGTCTGAAAGACAGAGATAGCGCACTATACCTTGAAATATTGGGTCCCTTTCTGTTTGGCTCCAGCAGACAAATCCAGTTTCTCCTTTAGATCTAATTCCCATGATTCTTTGGCCTTGAAAAGAAAACATACTGTTATCAGTTTCAGAGAAGGTCTTGAGAAGAAAATATACTGTTATCAGTTTCAGAGAAGGCCTTGAAAAGAAAACATACTGTTGACAGTTTCAGAGCTAGAGATTTGAAGATGACTTTCAGTGAGATGATGCCTGTTTCTTCCCATTATTTTCTCCAGGGTCACTCTGCCATCATGCAATATCTAACTGAGACCCTCATTGTCTAAACTCCAGCTCAAATAAAAGCAATCTGTTGGAATCTTCCAGGGACACTAATAGGATACTTGAACACATTCCTTTTACCCTATCTTATCCAGCAAGTAGAACTCACCTTCTCAAAGTCATTTAGAGTCACTTCATACATCAGGTCTGAGTTTGGTCCAATCTTATGCTGTGCTCTATCCTCTTTCCCAAAGCCATACCTACAAAAACAAGAGTGAGAGTATTGTACGGCTGATTATTTCTGACACACACCTGTTCCATGAAATGAGTACATTATTTCAAGATTTTTCTATAGAGATGCTTGTTTAAGGTTACAAGTCATTGTTGATGATGACTGAGTAAGCATATTTACTTTGTGTTGCAACAGGTCTACTTCAGCGATAGGGAGTAGAGTAGAGTAGAGTAGAGTAGAGTAGAGTAGAGTAAAGGCCCTTACTTGGGTTTTAAGTAGAGCATGCAGCATTCTCCTTTCTGCATCTTCTCCATGGCCCTGTCTACACCCAGAGGAACGCCCATGTCCTCTGACTCGCCCACAACAAAGTGCACTTTCCTGGAGTCAAACAGACGCTCTCCACAGCGACCCTCCAGGTGCACTGTGGGATACAGGAATGCAATTGAAAATATATAGATAATTTTTATGGAAAATATTATCATTTTACTTAATGGGAATGGGCTGTTCAGATAACAAACATAATGTAGGTTTGATTGTTCAAGATGTTCAGTTTGAGTGTTCAATGTTTTTTTGTGTTGTTTGAGACTGTACAAAAATCAAAACAAATGTTGATCACAGTCAATGTGAGACAAAGCCTTTGTACCAAAATCAATAGACATATTGATCACCAAGTTCACAGTTAATGAGATCATAATGAATGTGATAGAGAGTAGGCATGTCCGCCTCACCGTGGACAGTTGATCCATCATTGGGATTATTATAGCCCTCCCCTTTGACCTTTATCCTCCTTGTGATGCCGCCGTCGTCCGTCAGCACCTCCCCTTTGAAGCTCAGCAGCTCTACCTACAGGAAGTGAAGAGACACGTAAGAACAGAAAAAACATTACATCACGTCCATTTGTTGGCACATTTCACCACAATAGTAACCATAAGATTCCATAATGATGAGAATGATTATGTTATTTATGTGTTCTGTTCACAATGCCGAGAGAGAATCTAGGACAATGCACAGTCAGAAAATACAGTATAGGGGAAACCTGTTACTGTATGTGCAGATGAAGGCCTATATACCATCATCACCTTGGAAAACACTCTGCTTTACCTACCTCAAACTGTAGCATGGCATTGGGAGGTATTTTGGGGGGGCATCCAGATGACCCATAGGCATATTCTGGTTTGCAGAGGAGCATGCACACCTCTCCTCTCTGCATAGAGGTCACACCAACATCCAAGCCCTTAATCACCTGACCTGTGGAGTGATATATAAGAAGAGACATGATGAACAGATGTAGGCTACATATGCAGTGACATATAGGCGATATATACGGCGGGTGAATAAAATGTGTTACCACAACCCCCTGGTTTATAAGTACATTAGTAGTACATTATTAATCATTAACAAATTGTGAGCATGCTATGATCAAACACCTTAACATACCCTTTCCCAGATTGAAGGTGAAGGGTTTCTTGCGGTCCATACTGGAGTCAAACTTCTTCCCATTGAGTAGTTTTCCAGTGTAGTGCACTGCTACCTTGTCCCCGATCATGGGTCTGTCCCCATCCTCTCCCTGTTTTTTCACCACCTGTACAAAGAACAGATGTCAGCCCTGAGATCATCTCAGCTCAGCATGCTAGTTAATACTTGTTTTCTATAGCTAGACAGTAGCTAGGTTTCCATCCAATTGGCGACAGATTTCCATGCAAATATTCTAGAATCCACATAAAGAAAATATGCGCATTTTCCCAATTGTGGTGTGTTTCCACAAAATGGACTTGTTGCGGATAAAAATCAGTGCGCAATGAGGTAGTGCACACAAAATGTAATTTTTTGCTTAAGTTTTCATGTACCGAATACAAATCTAACGTTCAATGTGTTTCCATTGCATTTTCAACTCTACCGATAGTTTTGTCACAAAAACAGTTGCATTAAATAGCAAATGTGCCTAACGTTGCTCTGGTCTTGGCACATGCGCTCTAGTCAACAGTTCGCAGACACAGTGCAGGTTGGCTAGTCTACATGATGAGATTATTATGGATAAGAGCAAAAATATTTTTATTTGTCAAATGGTAGTCAAGCATCGATCATCATGTCACCAGAATAAGACCCTTGATATTTATTGGAAAGGAGCATCAAGATCACCGTTCACTTTCACCACCCTGTGAAGTTCATCATAATTTATTTAATCTGTAGCCTAATTAACTGCATGGTTTCCCGAGTTGTAGTGGAAGGACCACACATCATAGCATCGCGTCACTCCAAGTTTTCTTCGATATGATTGTTATTATGTCAATATTTGTGCATAAAGGCGTTTCCACCACCATTTCTAGCATCATTCATTTTACAGACACAAAAAGATCCCACCATGTTGAACGAACAAATGACCTGTCGGCATTTATACAATTGTACCGAAACGTCCTGTTTCCATCACAGCTGTCGTGATTTTTTTAAATATGACTTCATATGCATAAAGACTGTGGATGGAAACGTGGTTTATGATGATTTATTCATGTGAAATATTTATCTTTCATGTACCCCTACTAGTATTTTTCATCCTAACAGTTATGCATTTCTTGCTGTGCTCTGTTCTTGCTGCTACGTTTATTGGTAACTCCTGGACAGGAGGATGTGCTCAAAAACAAAGGAACACTTGAGTGGTGGAAGAATTATGAAAGAAGAGTTTCTCTGAAATCTCTCTGAATACCATACCAAAGGGAACACGTTGTGTGTGTGCTTCAGGCCTGTCTTAAAAGAGGATGTCAACAGTAGAACACATCCTAACACTGAATAGGTCCCTTTCATAACCAACAATCCATGTTTATGGAATGATATGCAAAGCAGATTATGGAAAGTACAGCCGAATCCTAATAATAATTTGAGCTGCGCTGCTTTATGTCAAGTCAGAGTTTGTCCCTTACAGAGGATGTTGGGATGAGGTTAAAGCCTACCTTGCGAACTCCCTCGTCTTTGTTAGGAGTGACGTCAATGCCCTTATCGGCAAAGACCACAGCAGGAGACTGGTCATCCATGGACTGGTCCTTATCTGTGGTCATATCTGCACCTGGGAATGCCACTCTAACCCTGCACAAAAGAATCACACACACAAACACACACACACACATTGTTAAAACTGGGATACGCACCAATATAATAACACACTCACAAAACCCCACCAACACACAAAGCCCCCAGTAGAAAGGTATTCCAGAACCACCTGAATCTCACTTTAACTGTAATCAATTATATGCATATGACCTTTAGGTAAGTACATTGTTAGCTATGTAATACAGTATCACTGACATCCTGTGAGTCAGGGAATGGCGTTTCTAACATCTCAACTCTGTTTCTTCTTCATTCTGATAAAATGCATGAACTGATGCACACCCAAAAATGTATGTAGAGGTGCTGACTAATGAAGAATAAACTCTGTGCTGTCCCTCTTTGTGAGACATGCAGCACAGTACGTTCTTGGGAGACTGTTGTCGTTGAAGAGCCAAACAAGTTTTCTGATGATGAGCTATAGAAAGTGCCTCAATGGCTGCCTTATCTCCCAGCCCACAGTACATTGTTTTAACTCATGGTACATCATGTTAACTCATGGTGCATCATGTTAACTCATGGTACATCATGTTAAGGCTCTGTCGCAGCCGGCCGCGACCGGGAGACTCATGGGCGGCGCACAATTGGCCCAGCGTCGTCCAGGGTAGGGGAGGGAATGGCCGGCCGGGATGTAGCTCAGTTGATAGAGCATGGCGTTTGCAACGCCAGGGTTGTGGGTTCGATTCCCACGGGGGGCCAGTATAAAAAAATATGTATTCACTAACTGTAAGTCGCTCTGGATAAGAGCGTCTGCTAAATGACTAAAATGTAAATGTAAATGTAAACTCATGGTATATCATGTTAACTCATGGTACATCATGTTAACTCATGGTATATCATGTTAACTCATGGTACATCATGTTAACTCATGGTGCATCATGTTAACTCATGGTATATCATGTTAACTCATGGTATATCATGTTAACTCATGGTATATCATGTTAACTCATGGTATATCATGTTAATTCATGGTACATTATGTTAACTCATGGTACATCATATTAACTCCCAGTACATCATGTTAACTTGCTGCAGTCATACCATCATACTAATGTCAAAACTCCAGAAAATGTACACATGTAGCATCTTAATTTGAGTCAGTTTACTACAGCAGGCAAATAATCCTGCAGCAACAGGAAATGCGAAATTATTATGTGGATTATAATTAATTGTAGGGGTTGATACCTTTTTCGTAAGGGAAAATCAAGTCTGAAATTTCAAAGTGGAAATTACAAACTCCAGATGCCTTTTTAAATCTTAAATACACTACAAGTTAAAAATGTCCTGCATTGCAGGAAAGTTCTCCTGCAACAAGGTGATCAAATTAAGATCCTACATCTGTAGGTCTTCATATACAGTATCTATGCTGTTTCATTGCAGTATACTATGCCCACATTCACTGTTGACAATGCCAAAAGGTTCAATTCAATCAAAACTGCAATGTGGTAAGCTATTTACGCAGTAGATCTTTTTCTTCCAAGGTCAAATAAAATGATATAATATGTTTTTGTTTCTTCTTCATTCTGAAAACTAGCCCCTGATTAATGAAATATGAGATCTGATGGTGCAACAGTGCAGTCACTCTGTCCAGTCCATCTTTGTGAGACTTGCTGCACAGTGTGTTCTTGGGACACTGTTGAAGAGCCAAAAGAGCTTTCTGATGATGAGCTACCGTATAATATTATCCTGATGTCTTTCAATGGCAGCCTTCACGATTCGTATCTCTCAAACCACAGTACATCATGTTAACTCATGGTACATTATGTTAACTATTGGAATTTGCTGCAGTCATACTATAATACTAGCATCAAGTGTGCAAGTGCACATAGTTCTAAACTAACTGTAAAAACTCTTCACATTTACTGAATGAAAATTCCACACACAAAAAAAGACAGGGGGCTGCTGGTGGGTGTGCTACACCAGTGCCTGTTGCATCTTTTCAGATAAGATACAACTTAATTTATGCCTTCAGGGCAATATGACTAGGGCCTGGTCCCATGCCTTAGGACATGAGAAAAGTAGGTAGACGCAATCAGGGTCCCCTGTAGCTCAGTTGGTAGAGCATGGCGCTTGCAACGCCAGGGTTGTGGGTTCGTTTCCCACGGGGGGCCAGTATGAAAATGTATGCACTCACTAACTGTAAGTCGCTCTGGATAAGAGTGTCTACTAAATGACTAAAATGTAAATCATAACTCCAGACTTGAGTTCATGACGCTATGTGTCTGCTATCTAAAGAACACTAAGGTATTAAAATGCTGCTTTGCTGTCATATTTGCCATGTTAATGTGTCAATGTTGATTTTGGAATGTCTTTATCTGATTATAGCTTTAGCCTTCCCGTGAACTACGGACTAACTGTTTAAGCCTCAGGGTTTTCTGTGATGTTGGTTATTATGCCCTATTGACTCTGTTAAATAAATTATTAATAAATGTAACAATTGACTTAACAATTATATCTCTATTGACATATTAAGAAATACTATGGTATAGACAACAATCGTATGTTGAATAACATTTTCAAAATGTGAAAACTATGAAGGGTTGTAATATCAATCAGATTGTGTAGGCTATTTAAAATCAAGGCAGAAACATCTTCCTAGAAATCTCCTCATTGGAAGCAGACTGTGGAAAACGATGAAACAAGCACAGCAGTTGTAGCATTACAGTAACTCTTATTTCTGCACATATTGTAATGCATCATCATTTCACCATTCTTCAGAAAACAGAACAGAAAATAAGAAAACATGACGTAAGCCCAACACTTACCTCAAATATCTAACAGCTATTGAACTACTTGCACCATACAATTAAACAAATGTAAAACAGATTTAAACCATCAACATAACCTTGATGCTTAGCTCATTTGTGCATTCAATGTTCTTTCTGTTGACTTCTCTTGATCAATGAATACAAATAGCTTACTGTAAGATAACATATGAACCATCCCAAATGGGCTTTCTCATATAGTACATCATCAATTGACTATGAGTGGCCCGCCACAGGCATCCACAGTGAAGGAAGTCACACACATAGCCGGTCCCAATAGCGGAGGTGCCTACATGCACTTACCACAAATGCCTTGTTTATACTAAGTTTTCCGTATTGTGCATTGCTCTCTGTTACTCTTGTTTTGTATCGTCATTAGCACATATACAGTACCAGTCAAAAATTTGGACACACTTACTCATTCAAGAGTTTTTCTTTATTTTTACTATTTTTTACATTTTAGAATAATAGTGAAGACATCAAAACTATGAAATAACACATATGGAATCATGTAGTAACCAAAAAAGTGTTAAACTAATCAAAATATATTTTATATTTGAGATTCTTCAAATAGCCACCCTTTGCCTTGATGACAGCTTTGCACACTCTTGGCATTCTCTCAACCAGCTTCATGAGGTAGTCACCTGGAATGCATTTCAATTAACAGGTGTGCCTTCTTAAAAGTTAATTTGTGGAATTTCTTTCCATCTTAATGCGTTTGAGCCAATCAGTTGTGTTGTGACAAGGTAGGGGGGTATACAGAAGATAGCCCTATTTGGTAAAAGACCAAGTCCATATTATGGCAAGAACAGCTCAAATAAGCAAAGAGAAACAATAGTCCAGCATTACTTTAAGACATGAACATTTCAAGAACTTGGAAAGTTCTTCAAGTACAGTCGCAAAACCATCAAGCGATAAGATGAAACTGGCTCTCATGAGGACCACCACAGGAAAGGAAGACCCAGAGTCACCTCTGCTGCAGAGGATACGTTCATTAGAGTTACCAGCCTCAGAAATTGCAGGCCAAATAAATGCTTTACAGAGTTCAAGTAACAGACACATCTCAACATCAACTGTTCAGAGGAGACTGCGTGAATCAGGCCTTCATGGTCGAATTGCTGCAAATAAACCACTACTAAAGGACACCAATAAGAAGAAGAGACTTGCTTGGGGCAAGAAACACGAGCAATGGACATTAGACCTGTGGAAATCTGTCCTTTGGTTTGATGAATCCAAATTTGAGATTTTTGGTTCCTACCACTGTGTCTTTGTGAGACGCAGAGTAGGTGAATGGATGATCTCCGCATGTGTGGTTCCCACCGTCAAGCATGGAGGAGGAGGTGTGATGGTGTGGGGGTGCTTTGCTGGTGACACTGTCTGTGATTTATTTAGTATTCAAGGCACACTTAACCAGCATGGCTACCACAGCATTTTGCAGCGATACGCCATCCCATCTGGTTTGCGTTTAGTGGGACTATCATTTGTATCAAACAGATGAAATATATGGAAACCACATGTTTGACTCCGTTCCATCAATTCCATTCCAGACATTACAATCAGCCCGTCCTCCTATAGCTTCTTCCACCAGCCTCCACTGACACACACACACACACACTCTCGCTCTCATACACACATACTCACACACGTTTGATGCTTAATTTGTTCCCACATATGTCAGAATTATATCAGGAGCCTGTGATCACTTGCCATTGTTGCCGTAAACAACAACAACAATAACCATAGTAATAAAGCTTAAAATGATCATTCTTTCATCATATGGATATCACTTCTAAGAAACGTTGGAACGGAACATCGTGTTCTGGGAGCTGTAACATTATAGCTTTCCACATTGACAGGGCCAAATGCATAAACAAACACATACACACACCAACTAACATGTAAGAACAATTAGTTGATTTAATGATCTAGTAATATAATTATTAAATAAACCTAGAGTGGGGGGGGGGGGGGGGGGGGGGGGGGGGGGGGTGTATGTCTATGTCCACCTCTGTGTCTGTCTGCCTCTGTCCATCTCTGTTTGTGTCCATCTGTGCAGTAGTGTGTGAGTGTGTCTTCCTATGCATCTGTGTCCGCACAGTGTGTGTATGTTTGTGTGTTTGGTTTTACTATCCTTGTGGGAACCAGAAATTAGTAAATCAAGGAACATTTGGACGTGTGGGGATATTTCACCAGTCCCCACAAGGAAAAAGGCTATTTTA